GCTAGTTAGAATATAGAACCTTATTACGCGGTTCGAACTAGGTACTTTTAACTAAAATATATCTAGAGACCGCCTAGATATCTAAATAACGTATACCGCTTTCCGATTAAAAAGGCAGCGTTAGATTCGTCTTAGATTCGAGATACGTTCTCGATTTATACGAAAGTTTTATATTAGATAGAATAAGATTGCGCGGTTCTAACGATATACTTTTTATTAGGTTATATTAAGAGACCGCCGAGAAATTTCATTAAACGTGTTTTACTTTCTAGATAGAAAGCGGCGTTAGATTCGCGCTAGATTCGAGGTACGTCTTCGATCTATATATTAATTTTATTTAGGACTAAGTTGTCTAGTAGTAACGGTATAGTAGTTTCTGTTAATATTATCTTAGTATCTACTAATATATATAAACAAATAATACTTTATCTACCCGTTAGGAAGATAAGGGTAAATTTTAGTAATAGAAGACTACTTAATAGGATGTCCTAGAATTGTTTTAATTTTATAGCCTAATTTACTCTCTTATTAAGCTTATAGTACTACGACGGGCCTAGACGATAGTTTTAGTATAATATTAGAAAAGAATAGGAGAATATTCAAAGAAATATTTAAACTACCTAATACTCTAAATTATACTACTACTTATAAACATCGTCTAAACTAGGGCGCTAGACGAGACTAATACCGTTTATAACGTAGGCTAAAACAAATTCTATCTATACTATAGCTATCTAGGAAGGAGCTTTCCGATTTAGGCGGAGGCTATAAGTACTACGAGGCTACTACTCCTCTATTCGCCTAGTAGTTAACCGGCGTCTACTAGTTAATTTAAACGTTACCGCTAGTGCCTTTTACTAACCTAGACTTCTACTTTAGCTTTAGGCTAACGCGCGTACTAGTAATCTTAACTAGCTTAAAGCTTTCTTTTATATATTAAAGGTCGATACCGCCGATATAAAAGATAGCTAGTAAGAGCTAATTAGAGTTAAGATTAGGACTGTTATCGGCTTTACGAAGGTCGCCGACAAGAATTAGGTCTAGCGTTTA